AAAAAAAAAAAAACACAAAAAGTAGCTGGGTGTGGCAGCAAACGCCTGTAGTCTTAGCTACTTGTGGAGCCTGAGGCAGGAGGATCACTTGAGCCTGGGAGGTCGAGGCTGCAGTGAGCTGTGTTCATACCACTGCATTCTGGCCTGGCAACAGAGTGAGTCTCAAAACAATAACAACAAAAAATGGCGGGTGGTGGCTCAGGAGATCACTGCAGTAGCACCCCCAGGAGGGGTGAGGATGGGCTCGCTGGCACAGGAGAAGGGGTGCTTTAGACAAAGACTGGTTTCCTTGGGGCCTTGGGGTGGCAGGGAGTGCTCAGGATGTCTGCGAATGCATGTAAATCAGAGGGTAGGAATCCCTCTGGGAGGTCTGTCCTTCCCTTTGAAGGAGAAGATAGGGTAACTCTGTTGACAGGGAGGGCAGAGAAGAAGAGGTGAGGGGCCTGAGGGAAGAGGCTTGGCATAGAGGCCAGGGAGATGGAAATGAGAACGGTCAGGACCTCCTGGAAGAGGATCTATCTGGGCTAGCAGCTGGGGCTGCTAGCAGGGCGGCTGCTGGGAGGGCAGGGCATTTGGAGGCCCCAAATCTGCATCATCACAGATTCTCTCCAGCAGGGCCCCACCTCCTGGATGGAAAGGACTGGGAGGTGCAGCAGGGAAGTTGGGGATAGCAACGATCTAGGGCCCTCAGTAGCCTCCTCCAGCGGGCTCAGGGGCCTGAGGTTGGTGGCGAGGAGCTGACTCTACCTCTGGGTGAGCAGGCGAAGCTTCTCAGACTGCCTCCAGAAGACAGAGGCTGGGTTCTCTAGCTCTGGCCCCTGAGACCCTGAGGCACAGATGCTTCCTGCAGGGGAAGACTTGGCTGGCAAGGCCTGGCAAGGGAGGAAGAGCTTGGGGTCCCCCTTTGGCATCTGGGGGAAAAGTGCTGGGGAAGTTCTGGGTAGTATGCACAGGCCTCAGAGAACTTGAAAGACAGAAGCAGTCTGGGCTGGTAAAGGGATCTTCATAGCAGACACCCCAGGCCTCCACACTCAGGCAGACCTGGAGCTCTGGAAGCTGAGGGTGTGGTCCTCCCAGCCAGCTGGGGTGCCCAGCCCTGTCCTGCTCAGCCACCATGGTGGGGGCTCACCCTGCAGGCTTTGTGAGCTGGATGCTGGCTGGATCTGGCCAGCCCCACCTGCAACTCACGGGAGGAGCAGGGGAGACACAGGATATCCCCACCTTCGGACCCTCTGAAGCTTCCCTGGCAGCAGCCTGGCCCCTCATCATGGCCCTCAGTGGAAAAGCCTGGAGTAGGGGGCAGCTGCTTCCTGCTCAGTCCCCTCAGCTTCTTATCAGGAATTCTATCTCATGTCACCATGTCCCTGCACTAAACTCCCTTACTCCCTCTTTTAAAAATACTCAGTGTGATTTTTCTTGGCTGGTTGGAGCCTAACCGAGATACTAAGTTCCTAGAGCCCCAGACCTGGGAAGTGGAGTTAATCCTTGGAAGCCTGCAGACCCGCTCCATTGGGCTGTGGGGCCCTAGCATGAGTGTGAGGCCCACTATGGCTGACTGGTTCTCAGGGGCCAGAAGTGCCCATGGGTGCCCCAAGTGGGTGCCTCGCTACACAGGTATAGGGAGGGGCAGCCAGGCCACAGCAGCAGGCAGAGTTGGGCCAGGTCAATGCAGGCCTGAAGAGGCAGCCAGTGGCCCCTCAAGGCAGTGGTACCCCTGGAGCTTCTGGGCTGGTGGCTGAGGCTGTCACACTCCCCACAAGAATTAGAGCTATGCTCACACCCCTCCCCACCATCTAGTTCCTCCTCTGCTAAAATGTGGAGCACTGTCTCCCAGCCTTGGAGCTCAGGGGCAGCAGATAACCCAGTACTTGGGAGAACATCTATCAAATGTAAAAGGCCATACCCTTGACCTAGCTGTTCTACAGATTTGTGCAAAATAAAGCATGTGAGAAGGTTATTTGCTATAGCAGTTTGTAATGGCCAAACATAGCAAACAACCCTAAATGTCCAGCAATGGTGACTAGATAAATTGTGATCCTTCCACACAAGGAATGCTATGTAGCTATCAAAAAAGAGGCAGCTCCGTATGTGTTTATGTAAGATGAGTTACAAGATACACAGTTAAAAGGAGAGTTCAGAACAGTGTATATGATAGCATGGGTTAAATATAACAAATACACTTGTCTTTTTGCGTGTATGACTGAATCTGGAAGGATATACAATAGACTGGCACTGCCTTGAGACTGGGAGTCCTAACGGACAGGGAGGGAACGGAGACTTCATTTACTGTACGTCTGTTTGAATCTTTTGAATTTTGTACTATGTGTGTACTTTACAATTCAATAAATAACTCACATTTTCAAAACAAAAGAGCATTTAGAAACAAATAGGCCAGATGTGGTGGCTCACATCTTTATAATCCCAGTGCTTAGGGAGGCTGAGGCAGGAGGACTGATTCAGCTCGGAGGACTGATTGAGCTGGAAAGGTCAAGGCTGCAGTGAGCCATGATCCTGCCGCTGCACTCCAGCCTGGGTGACAGTGAGATTCTGTCTCAAAAAAGAAACTGGGATGACACAGCAGTGTCTTCACTTACATCCTACTCCACTGCTAGCTATGTGACCCTGGACAAGTTAATTTACCTCTGTGCCCCAGTTTCTGTAAAACAGTGATACCTTTTTGGAAAGGTTATTTTGAAGAGCAAGTGAATGAATATGTGAAGAGCTCCTGGCACTGAGTCGGCATTATGAAGCGTTAGATATTGCTATTTTGCTGCCCCAGACTAACTCCAAAGCAACGCCACTTGAGCCATGCCTGCTCTCCCTGCTGCTGCTTCTACCTAAATACTTCATTTAACAAATATTCTTTTTTTTTGAGATAGCGTCTTTTTTTTTTTTTTTGAGATGGGAGTTTCGCTCTTGTTGCCCAGGCTGGAGTACAACGGTGCAATCTCGGCTCACTGCAACCTCCGACTCCTGGGTTCAAGCGATCCTCCCACCTCAGCCTCCAGAGTAGCTGGGACTCCACGTGAGCGCCACCACGTCCCCCTAATTATTTACTTTTTTTTTTGTAGAGACGGGGTCTCACTGTTACCCAGGCCAGTCTCAAGTTCCTGGACTTAAGCGATCCTCCTGCCTCAGCCTCCCAAAGTACTGGGATTACTGGCATGAGCCAACGCGCCCAGCCTTAACAAATAATTTTCTTTCTTTTTGAGATGGAGTCTCGCTCTGTCGCCCAGGCTGGAGTGCAGTGGCGCGATCTTGGCTCACTGCAACCTTAGCTTCGCCAGGGCCTCGGTCTCCCAAAGTGGTGGGATTGCAGGCATGGGTCACCGCGCCCAGACTCAGGTGATTTTTTAACAAGTCCAGCCGTAGCTGCAGGTATCCTGGTTCTGTAGGAACGATGAAGTATGGACAGATCCACACCTGGATCTATGGATGGGATGGATCTCAGGGAGGTCCTGGACGGAGGGAAATGCTCTGGTTTGCTAAGCCTGGCACCGACTGAGACCCACCCACAAAGCGACCCGTGGAAGTCCCTGGCGGCCTCCTCCGCCCTGCCGCCGGGGAGCCCTGCAGGTGGCTCTCCGGCCATCTGGTGACACTGACTTCACAGCCACCACCTTAACTGGCACGTAATACCAACCAGGGAACCCGTGGGCGGTCAGAGGCCGGGCTCTACGGTCAGTCAGCCCAGGCACCTCTCCCTGCCACGTGAGGCCAGAAAGTTACTTCTCCGAGGCTGTTTCCCGTGACCAGAAATACCTCCCGCCTGAGGTTCTGTTGGGTAGGGGAGGTTCGTGCACTTCTCACAGAAAACGTTGCACAGACCCGCGACTGCCTTTATTAAGAGCTCTCAGGAGGCTGCCTGGAGCTGGGGGTGTCTCCGGCCCCATGCTCGTGGGCATCAGGGCGAAGCTGTGCCCCCGAAAGGGCCAACGGGAACTCCGCGGTCCCTGAACTTCCGGCGCTGGAGGGCTCCTAGCTCAGGGCTGCCGGGAGCCGCGGTATGAGTGCGTGCCAGGGTCGCGCGCGGGGTCTCTGAGGCCTCGAACTTCAGGGCTGTCGGAGTCTAGAGATCCAGCCACATTGGAGAAACGGAGGCCGCCCGATTACACCGCCCCCGCACTCCCCTCGCACCCGGCGCCAAAAACGCCAGTCCCACGGCGCAGGCCGGGACCCGCGCGCCCACGGCCCAATCAGCGCGGGTCTTCCACAAAGCGAGCCCCGCCCCCACGCCGCTGCTGCCAGCACCTCCCCCTCCCGTGGCCGTCTCGGCCCGCCCATTCCCAGCCCCGCGCTGTTCTGGGTTAGAGGCTCGCGATTGGCTCATAGGGACGGCCGCGAGCTCTGGTTGGTCGGCGCGGAGTCACGAGGGCGCGTCGTCGCCTTTCCACAGGCGATTACTGGGCAGGCTCCGTCTTTCGCCTCAGTCTCGAGCTCTCGCTGGCCTTCGGGTGTACGTGCTCCGGGATCTTCAGTACCGCCCGCCATCGCCGTCGCTTGGCTCCCTCTGGGCTCATCTGCGCCACTTGCTCGCTCCACACTCCGCCGCCATAAGCTGCCGTCATGGTGAAGCTCGCGAAGGTAAGCGGCCTTGAGTGCGAGCACGGAGGTCTAGGCCTGCTTTCCGAGGGGCGAGCGCGGCGCCGCGGGGAGGAGGGCCTGCGCGCAGTCCCGGGCGCGTTCGAGGGCGCCATGCTGAGGGAAGTCTCGCGCGATTAGTGGGAAGGTCTCGCGGTTTCTGGCTACTTGGTGGCGAGGTGAAGAGCTTCTGCAGGTGTTGGGGGCGGCGAACGCAGCGGGAAAGACAGAGTCACTGAGCGCGGGGAGGGGGCGCTAGGCCCCGGGGCGAGGAGATGAGACCAAACTCTTGCGACGCGTACGGGCTAGAACCCGACTCCTGACGCACGTGCCTGGGAGCGCGGCCTGCCACGTGGGCCGCGCCGCGTGGGTCCCGGAATCTCCGGAGGGACCGGTGCGTTGTGGTGGGAAATGGCGGTATTGGCCTGAGTCGGAGGACGGGCTGCACTCGGGATGTCTCCGCTCGGGCCCGGCAAGCCGACACGTGGTGGGTCCCGGAAAGTGGCTCTGCCGCGGTGTTTCGGGCACGTGGTGGCCTACCAGGTACCCCCACGTGGCCGCGCCGCCTCTTTAAGGGGCGGGGTTGTCTCGCTGGGAAAGGAATAACGTTCATGAGAAAACCAAGGTAGTTATTTTTTTTAAGCGCCTTAATGATCTTCACCCATAATTTGGATTTGGATTTGGATGAGGGTTGTAGAGTAAGTTACCGGGATTTGAAGTATTAAAACACGGGTGTACTTAACTAAGAAAGCCTAAGGCTAAAAAAAAAAAAAAGTCAAACCTAAGCTAAAAAGTCAATCTGAAGAAATCATAAGTCAATCTGAAGAAATGATTTCTTCAGGTTGACTTTTTAGCTTAGGTTTGATTTTCTGTTTCTAAAGCCTGACAGCAAAAATGTGTGGGCGGTTGAGAGTAGTCCCTCTTGCATTGCCATTAGGACTAGTTTTTACGTTAGTTGTGCTGTTTGGCACTATGAGAAATGGATCTGAGGAAGGAGATGATGGCATTTTATACACTGAACAGCAATGGCAAAATGTGAATGGCCTGAAATGTCGAAATGAAGATGTAATGATGTACTTGTGTCCATTTTAGGCAGGTAAAAATCAAGGTGACCCCAAGAAAATGGCTCCTCCTCCAAAGGAGGTAGAAGAAGATAGTGAAGATGAGGAAATGTCAGAAGATGAAGAAGATGATAGCAGTGGAGAAGAGGTAATTTCATCCAACTCAATGCAGACTTAAGTTAAAACTACAAAATGGGGAGTTAGGACATGAAATTGGATGTCTATGATAAAAATAAGATTTTATTCATCTGGATATCTCCTGTTGTAGTGATTGAGTGTTTCAGAAGCTCTTCATTCATGTCAACATGTCATGTGGCTAAATATTTGAATGTGAGTTTGAGACAGATCTGGGGATCTCCTTTCCATGTGCCTCTGCAGGGCTTGGAGTGTGATTTGTTGTGCTGAATCGTTACATTTGTCCAGTTTCAACACATCCTCACCCCCACATTTTAGACACGAGGGAAAGATCTGTTCTCTCATTGCCAGAGCTGGGCGTTGTATTCAGATCTGAGGATAACCTTACCAGATTCCTTTCCTAGGCTCCATTTAAGATTAATTGGTCTCTATTCCATTACATATAAGGTTTGTAACTCTACTCACTGTGTTACAGTTGTCTCTGGTGTAGACTGAGGACTGCCACCACCCTTTGTGTTAACGTTTACCTCTTGCACTCCTGGCTATTTATTTGCTCACTATAAAGACAAGTGAATACTGAATTGTGCTCAGACTTCTTGTTGAGAATTGAATAAAAGTTTTATTCTTCCATACATTGATAAAACTAGTAATCCAAAAGCAGATTTCAGTGGGACTTTATTAATGTAGCTAAATGATGGATTTTACCAAACATGCCCACTCTTTGATGTGTGATCGTTTTGTAAGGGGTATTCAGCCTATTTAATCTTCATTTCATCTCAGATCCTAAGAGTTGAGCTTCACCAAACTTGGTACCAGCACCTACTGTAGGAGCCTCAGATGATTTAATAACAGTTAATGCTTGGAGCCTCCTATGTGTAAGGTTGTGAATAATTTACACATAGCAATTCCTGTTCCTTAAACGTGTGAGGATAATACTATTACCATTTTCAGATGAGAAAGTTGGGGTTTGGGAAAGTATGAGGTATAAGAATTCAGAGGTATTTTAAGTATTCAGAAGGGTTCCTTATTCCTGGATATTCACCTGATAATATGGAGTTTAACATGCTAACGTGTGTCTAGGGCGTGTGGTCTTGAACCACAGGCGTTGCCAGAATCTAACACTAATTGGTACCATGGTTGTCTTCTTACTGGTTTGGTTTTCATTTATTCTCAAGGTTGTCATACCTCAGAAGAAAGGCAAGAAGGCTGCTGCAACCCCAGCAAAGAAAGTGGTAGTTTCCCCAACAAAAAAGGTTGCAGTTGCCCCACCGGCCAAGAAAGCAGCTGTCACTCCAGGCAAAAAGGCAGCAGCAACACCTGCCAAGAAGACAGTTACACTGGCCAAAGCAGTCGCTACACCTGGCAAGAAGGGAGCCACACCAGGCAAAGCATTGGTAGCAACTCCTGGTAAGAAGGGTGCTGCCATTCCAGCCAAGGGGGCAAAGAATGGCAAGAATGCCAAGAAGGAAGACAGTGATGAAGAGGAGGAGGATGACAGTGAGGAAGATGAGGATGATGACGAGGATGAGGATGAATTTGAACCAGCAGTGGTGAAAGCAGCAGCTGCTGCCCCTGCCTCAGAGGATGAGGACGATGAGGATGATGAGGAGGAGGAGGATGATGAAGATGAAGATGATGATGAAGATGGTAAGGCGTTCTCTTGGTAGTTAACTAGGCTTCTGTTTGCAAGTTATCTTGAGATTCTGGGAGCAGTACTACATATTCCTTCGATAAAAACCTGGAGATGAGATTGGAATCCTTGTGGGAATTCTCTGGATTGTTGTGTGCCAGACTTAATTACCCATTAATGATTTTGTGCATTGAGAAAATTTCAACAGCACAGTCTGATTGTTTTTCATAATGTAGGATTTTGTTTCAGTGGTTTTTTTTTTTTTTTTTTTTTTTGTTTGTTTTTTTTTTTTTTTTTTTTTTTTTTTTTTTTTTTTTTTTTTGTGAGAGTCTTGCTCTGTCTCCAGGCTAGAGTGCAGTGGCATCTTAGCTCACTGCAACCTCTGTCTCCTGTGTTCAAGCGATTCTCCTGCCTCAGCCTCCCAAGTAGCTGGGATTACAGGTGCCCGCCACCACACCTGACTAATTTTTGTATATTTAGTAGAGGTGGGGTTTGACCATATTGGCCAGGCTGGTCTCGAACCTTGACCTCAGGTGATGTACCCACCTTGGTCTCCCAAAGTGCTGGGATTACAGGTGTGAGCCACTGCGCCTGACCCTAAGTGATCTACTCTTGCGGTGACTATTAACTAACCATGGTGACAGGCCTGCACTTTCTTTCCATTAGATTTTAAAACCGATGTTTGTTTTGGGTGATTGCTGGAATTTTTTGACTAGGTGGCTTTTGTTTCAGACTCTGAAGAAGAAGCTATGGAGACTGCGCCAGCCAAAGGAAAGAAAGCTGCAAAAGCTGTTCCTATTCCTGTGAAAACCAAGAATGTAGCTGAGGATGAAGATGAAGAAGAGGATGATGACGAGGATGAGGATGAGGAGGATGAGGATGAGGATGATGATGATGATGAGGACGAGGAGGAAGAAGAGGAAGAAGAAGGTAATTAAATTAGATTCTGACATACATTGATATGAGATGTTTAAAAGAGACACGTAAGTGTTTGTGGCTATTGAAGGGTGATACATTGTTTGACATCTTGTCCAGAGCCTGTCAAAGAAGCATCTGGAAAACGAAAGAAGGAAATGACCAAACAGAAAGCAGCTCCTGAAGCCAAGAAACAGAAGGTGGAAGGTAACTTGCAGAATTAGGGGATGTGGGGGAGATAAACAGCACAAATGATGAATGACAAAGGGACTTAATACTGAAACCTGATGTTACATTGCAGTGTGCTGATGTGCTGTGTTTAGAAATTTTGCATTGGAAAGTAACTTTTTACCACACTTTACAAATAGACTAAGTTCAGCTTTTTTTAAATAGGCACAGAACCAACCACGGCTTTCAATCTCTTTGTTGGAAACCTAAACTTTAACAAATCTGCTCCTGAATTAAAAACTGGTATCAGCGATGTTTTTGCTAAAAATGATCTTGCTGTTGTGGATGTCAGAATTGGTATGACTAGGTAAGTGCTTCACTGCTCCCCTATTAGCACAGTTACTTTAGCCTGGTGCTTTTAAACATGAATAATGTAAACATTTTCAAGGATGAGCATTAGTGAACTAAGAATCAAATTACAGCGCCCCTAAAGTGCAATTTTCTTAATCCTAACAGTATAGGACGGAATAATCTTTAGTAAGTTTTTTTTGTTGTTTTTTTTTTTTTTTTTTTTTTTTTTTTTTTTTTTTTTTATCACTGTGTATTTCTTGTTGGGTAATGTATAT